TTTTCTTCCTCTTCCAACCTAAAATTCAAGTGATGATTCATACACAGTTAAGCCACAGATTTTGAAAGTTTTTTCTTATTTTCAGGACTACCGTTCTTATTTGCACTATGACACCACCACTGCATCCGTCCAAGACCCTATCTATCACCTTAGTCCACCCCAGTAAAGAAATAAAACAGTATTTCTGACACGTTATCTCCTAATCATCATCAGTAATACTATTCTTTGAAATTCCAATTTCAGTTTCAAAAATACTGTCTCTCTTTTCTTAACACAGGGCTTAAAAGAAATCTATTCCCTGAATATTCAAGAGTAAAATTTTGTGTTACAGTGGTTAACCAACATTTCAGTAGAGTAACAGAACATCATTTTGTTACAAACTCTTAAAAAAACCCAAACCAAACCAAAACCCAAACCCAACAAACCTATTGGAACATATTCAAACATTTCACAAGACTTTAGGCAAGCCTGGTAACCTACCAATGAAAGGATATCAAGGATTAAACACCAAATATTTTACCAGGATTTTAACTGGGACAGATGAGAAACCAACTGCACAAGCAGGTGTACTTCCAACAAAGACTTTTTTCTTTTTAAGCACATAGCCCGGAAGGAAAGATGCCATTCTGTGTCCTAACTAGAATGGTATTAAAAAAAAGGTTACGAGAAAAATTGTTAACAACCAAACAAAAACACTTACTGCCCGCCTCTTTCCACAAGTGTCTGACAGAGGTATTTTCTTGCATTTCTATGGGTAGGACAGTTTTCTAAAGCAATTTCAAAATCACCTATGGCTTTGTTCAGACTTCCTTTTGTTGCATACCTAGAACAACAGAAAAGTTGGACGGATTTTAGCGATGTTTCTCTTTCACAAGGTAGAAAACCCAATGAAACAAGCAGACTTACAGAGCTCCACGTGCTACCAAAGCTTCAACGTTTTGTGGATCAATTTCCAAAGCCTTGTTGTACTCATTCATGGCTTCCACATGGCGCCCAACCTTAAAATAATCAACCCCAGCCTTCACACTGGAGAAAAATATTATGTACAGTTAGCCTATGCAGATTTTATACTGTTAATTACTCACAAATCATGGTTCCAAACAAGTGATAGGTAATAAAACTTGACCGTGTTAACATGTACTTAACACTAGCATTTCAAATTAATGTGATATTGACATAATTCCACAACAACATATTGTCTTTAATCCAAAATCTTAAGGCACTAGAGAGCATTTCTGCAGACGGTGCTACTACATTACACTGTTCTTCATTTACAGAATGAATATTTAAGCACTTTTCTGCACAAAACTCTACGTGTGACCTACCACCATTAAACTGGAACAGGCTTCATTATATCCAAAGCTAAAAATCACCATTAGACCAACAACAGGAGGTGATATGGGTAGATGGTACACACTGAAACCAGTTCGCCTCAAACTGGAATATTTTGAGGTTTTATATTTCATATCACCTGAACCTTTCTTCTACATTTGCCAAGACATTGACTTATTGGAAGAGAACTGATGCGAGTTGAACTTCAGAACTTTTCATTAGACTTATTTTTTTTAATCAAAATTTATATTTAACATTATAAGCAACTTTTTCTGCAATTAATCAAAGTTGCAGAACACTACTGTTTTAAGAAAAACACTATGTTGTTAGCATAGAAACCCAGAAATGCTGAGGCTTCACTCAGATTTTTTTTTTTTTTTGAGCTAGCAGATTCAAGAAGAAGTTTTTCCACAAAAAAATTTACATTTTTAGGAGAAAAGTCTCTCTTACTTCTGCCTCCTCCACCCTGTAGCATGCCCAAATACACTACATAGCGTAAAAGCAATAGCAGCTATCCAGAGCTGCTGTTCCCAATGGAGCCAGGGAAATACATTTAACTTTTCAAGGACAGCAAGCACACTTGTTAAATCTACAGTTTGAGGCTTAAATGGCATGACAAGCACTATTAGGTCATTCAACACCCAACTATAAAATGGGTCACAAATCTTGCTCTCATCTAATCAATGGGCCAACATATTATAAATGTTCTAAGAAGCTCTCCCTTAAACCTGACGTGTATTTTGGAACTGAATCTCGAGACTTAATCTATCACATACCCACTCAGCAGTTAGGGTTACTTTCAAGAAGATCCTCCTGGTTACACCATTACACGTGTACTGTAAAAACCGGTTCATAAAAATAAACCAGTTTATTTTCTTTTAATAAATATAACCTGTAACCTAATCTAACCTAACAATAAGCTCTGGCAAGAAAAAGCATCGCATACCATTTCAAGGCCCAAGATGCAGATTGCTCTTTCCGCAATGCAGGGGCAAAATCTTCTTCATTGAAATTTTTACTTTAAGGAAAAATACAAACAAAAACATCAAGTTGGCCTTCTGAGTCTACAAAATTAAACTCACAATACGTAATGCAGTTGAAATAAGCTGAAATATTATTTATACGATACCTTATTGCTCTCTCTCAGTCAGGAACGTTCTTTCATATTTCTGAAACCAGTTTTTCCCAACCCATTCTAAAAGTGCTGAATTGAACTCGTACAGCTGCAGTACGTTTACCAAAAATATACCATGTTCACACCTGCTTTGGGGCCTAATATATAGGGCTCGCAACATCAATCCTTGCATATGTTTAAGCCTATTTTACTCAAGAGCTCAGATCTATTACTAAAATAAACATTGTGAATAAACATCCAACAGAAAACATTAAAACTTAAACATCCTGCATTTCAATCCAAAGATGTTGACAAGATCCAAGCAA